TATATGCAGTGTATTATTTGTTGAAACTGTACTTTCGATTTGATTTGAAACTGTCTCATTGCTATATGTTTATCAATAAAACTTTGAAAAGAAAAAAAAAAAGTCAATTAGGCCTCGATTCTCCTTACCCAGTCTCCTGCACTCTCTTCTGCATTGTCACATGCTTGGTACTTTATTCCCACAAGTGTAAAGATAGGTTTGTGCTGGGTGGAGGGGTGTCTACAATCCCAGCCACCTGGGAGGTTGAGGCGGGAGTATTCCTTGAGCATAGGAGTTTGAGGCTAGCCTGAGCAACACATCAGGACCTCATTTTTTTTTTTTTTTCTCCGAATATCTTCAGGGCAGCTTTGGCTGTCTTGTGTTCTGGGGATTGAACCACAGCAACCTGAGCCTGACTGCTTTGTTGAAGCAGCCACTTAAAGAACTGAGCTAAGAGGCAGGACCCCCAAGACCTCATCATGAAAACAAATAAAACACAAAAGAAGGGCTGAGTATGTAGCTCAGTGGCAGAGTGTGTGCTTAGAAAGCTCAAAGCCCTAGATTTGATTCCTGTGGTACACACCCGTGTCCCCAGAAAAAACAACAGAACATCTGTCTGTTTCAGAACAGCTTTCTCTGTCTGTCTGTCTGTCTGTCTGTCTGTCTGTCTGTCTCTCTCTCTCTCTCTCTCTTCAGAGTCTCACTATGTATCTCAGAGTTTGAGAGCAGTAACACTCCAGTAACAGTGGGCATACTTGACCTTTTCTTTTCCTTTTTTATTTTTTGAGACAGTATCTCCGGCTGGGTATGGTGGTACACCCCTGTAATCTCAGCACTCAGGAGATGCAGGAGGATTGCTGTGAGTTTGAGTTCAGCCTGGGCTATATAGTGATTTCAAAACTGGCCTGAAGTGCATAGTGAGACCCTGTCTCAAAAGGGGGCGTGGAGATTGAGATCAGCTGATTATGGACTAAAACCTCTACAAACTGTGAACTAAATCTTTCCTCCCTTAACTTTGGGCAACAGGTGTTTTGTCTCAACAAGAAAATTAACCAAGACAACCCTTACCCCTTCTTCATTTTTTGAGGCAGGGGTCTCACTAAGCTGCTAAGTTGCTTGGGGTCAAACTTGCCATCCTGCCTCAGCTTCCCAGAGTATCGGGAGCACAGGTGTATGCCACCCCACTAGGCTCCTTTTCCTCTTGACCCACTCTGAAGAGCTTTCCTTTCCATCACTGTTCTTGTCAAGGTCACCACTGACCCCACACTAAACTCAAAGGGCAATTTTTAATTCTTGTTTCAGCAGCACAGTAGCAGCAGCTGGGCTGATACACTCATCCCTTCTTGGAACATTTCCTTGATTTACACCCAGGACTCCACATTCTGGTGGTGCCACCTCTCCGGTCTCTGCTGTCACTCCCATCTCATTTTCTCTGACTGCTAGAGAATGAGGATCTTCCCACCTCTCCCAGCTTTGGTGACCTCATCTCATCATCTGGTTTTAAATCACAGCCACATGCGGATGACTTACATGCTGTGTCTCCAGCCCAGGCCTCTTCGTCACACTCTGGACTTCCGGAACCAGCAGAGTACTCCACATTTTCCCTCAGGTATTGTCCAACAATAGATTTAACCGATTTAACACATCTGACACCCAACTCTTGTTATACCTTCCCCCAAGTCTGTTCTGCCCAGTGTCCCTGTGTCAGCCGGGCTCACCCACAACTCTGCCTTACAGTTGTTCCAGCACCTTTGGGGTCATGCTGGCTCCTCTTGCCAAGAATTCCTGTCTCTCTTGCTTCCGGCTGGCCAGGTTTCTGCCATCTCTCACCCAGGACAAGAGGTTGCTCTCTCCTCTCTTGCTCTGCACTTGCCCATCCCAGTCTGTTCTCATCGCTGCAATGAGCCCTTTTCTGCCAGGAGTGAAGGCCACAGTCCCTACTGCACCTTCGAGACACTACATGATCTCTTCCTCTCCCAAAGTTGGCAGAAATTAAGTTTGGTAACACTTCATGAAGTGGGGAAGATGTGGGGAGATATGCCTGTGTGTCACCTGGCCTGAAAAGGGTCCTTTTCCTATCAGCCCACACTGTCCCAGGGGCCAAGGTGACACACCTTGCATTTACAAACAGGAGGGAACACAGCTCAGCACCAGCCTGCACAGGTCCCGATGGGAACAAGAGGGACATCCTTTGGTTTCGGCATGGAAGCAGCAGACTGCAGAATCCAGCCCACTGTGCCAAACTCAGTCCCGGAAAGGAAACAGAAATATTCTGCAGACCAATCAGTCAGTTAGGAATCAGGGAGACCCCACGGGAAGAATACAACTGGAAGCATGCAGACTTCTCTGAACTCACTTGGGAAGCAGACATTTGCATTTTGGCAATGTCACCCTTACGGCTTTAAGAGTGGGAGAACAACTTGGAAACAAGAGGTTAAAAAAAAAGGATCCTTACTAAAAAAAAAAAAAAAAAGAAAGAAAGAAAAAGACATTGGACTTGATCCTTCTCTAAGTGTTAACTATTTTTTTAGTGTTGTTAATTTCTCAGTGATGACTTTAGCTAAAGGAACAGGAAAGAGGACAAAGCGGACAGGAAGAGCAGAAAGCTGAGAGTCTGGCCCCACCAGATCTGCTGCAGATGAGAAAAGCCAGTCTGGAGAAGGGGTGCAGCTTTCTCAATGAACCTAGACTGGCAAAGGCTCTCAATTGCGTCTGCTGCTCTCAAGCCCAGCCTGCTAGGAACCGGATGAGCGCAGGAGCAGGAGACTGAAGTGCAGACCAAAAAGGGCAAAGCTGCGCACCCAGCTGGCACCATCGTCCCAGGCTCTGGCCCTGCTCAGCCCCACCCCCAGGTCATTTGCGGGGCTGAGGGGAAGGCTGCCTGGCCAGGGCCGTGGTTAGGAGCTTCGGGGCTGCCAGGTAAGGCAGGTGTTTGGTGAGGAAATCCTGAGAGACACCACTGAAAGGAGCTGGTGTAAAGGGCGGCACGGACACCCTCCCTACCCACAACCTCCCTACCCTACCCTCTGTGGTCTGTCAGAGTACAGGACTGAAACCCAGCAGCACTCCTGAGAATTTGCTGGTTTTTTCCTTCAGCGCTGGGGATCCAATCCAGGGCTGTGTGGATGTGAGAAACATGCTCTACCACAGAGCTCAGCCCCAGCCCTATGACTGAGTGTTCAATGTGCCTGGAAGTACTCCCTGCCAGATGGATCTACCCTCAGCTCTGAAGCCTGTGGTGCCACACAGCAGGACACGTGCACCACATCCTACAGGATTCCACCTTCCACACACTAGCAGTCCACAGTCCCAGCCACAAGTCCAGCGTTCCAAGCACTTATGCTGCCAGGCAGCCTTCGGGGCTGTCCTGGGGAGCAGGCGGGTGGGTCAGCTCCATTAGGGTGACTGGTCACCCGATTCACATACAGGCCCTCACCTAGCTTCATCCTCCATGGGAAGTCCACAGGGCCTCTGAAATAGCTCTTGTATGCACAGACCCGCCACATCTCATTTCCGCTGCTTCCCTTCCTACGCTGAGTTTTATTAGAGTTGGAGGCGACATCTTGGAATCCAATGTAGAAACTAGGCTTTCCTCTAACCTGCTTCCTTAAATCATTTTATTTTTATTTATTTATTTATTTTTTTTTTTTTTTTTTTTTTTTTTTTTTTTTTTTTTTTTTTTTTTGGGGGGTGGGGGCCGGCTCAGCCCACCTGGGGGCAGGGCTGGCTGGCATGTGGTGCTGGGGATTGAACCGCGGTCCCTGTGCTTTGCTTAGCTTGTTCTATGTAGGTGCTTTAGACCACTGAGCCATCTCACCAGCCCCTTAAATCATTTTAGAAATGACTGGGTTGCATTTGAGAAACCCACGGTAAGATTACACAGTGGCATTAAGTTGTGCGATTACAGTTCTGTGTGGCCTCTGGCCCCAGAAGCTCTGAATTGGCCTGTCCTCTGTACACACCAAGGAGCTTGAATGAGGCTCTGTCATTCTGTCCTCCTCTGAGGGGGTGCCTACCCTTCTGCACCACCCAGGGCAGCCTGGGGGAATCTTCCCATTCCTAGGTGCAGTACAGCGTTCAGTCACATCTTAGGGTGACTCTAGCCAGCTCGAGTGTGTGCGTAGCTGCCTCACAAGGGCCTGGGGCGCCTCAACCTGGCATCCATATGGGACCCACATACTCACATACCTGCCTGCCCAACTCCTTGCACACAACAAGCCAAGTCAGAGTCGGGAGGTGTTTCCATGTTTTATTAGGGTAATGGCGGAAGCAGAGGCTGGAAGCAGAGCAGCCAGATAAATTAACCGCAGTACGGGCTGGGAAGTGGGGACTGAGCCAGGCGCTTTTATATAAAAACAAAAACAAAATCCAAAAAAAAACCACAACAGACCCCAAGGGTATGGGGTAGGGGAGGGCAGCACCATTCAGACAGCCGGAGGACTGGGCAGAGAGAAGGCAACTTGTCCTCCTTACCCTGAAGTCCACCAATGGGGCCTTCAGAACAGCCCCATGGGGGCTTTGGGACAGGAGCAGCCAGGTTGGGCAGAGATGGCACAGCTGGTGGGCAAGAAGCCCAGCACCACAAGATGGCTCAGCCTAAGTGGGAGCTGGGGGCTGGGACACATGGTCTTGACCCCCTAGGTCCCTTAGAGGAAGAGCCTTACTCTGGATGAGCGAAGGGAGCGGGGAGGGAGTGTCTCCCTGAGCTGAGTGCAGTCATCTCCAGCCACAGCGGCGGTGGGCAGTGGGGTGTGCCAAGGACTCCTGTACCTTCTTATCCAGCTGCCTCCTTGGTCCCTTCAAGGAGGGCCCCACTGGCCTTGAGGGGCGGGGCATGAAGAGAACAGCCCAGACTGTGCACCCCAGCTGCAGGGGGGCCGTGGTGCGTGCTGCCCACCCCTCAGCCCTGACTCCCACAGGAGGAGAGTGAGTCATAGAGCGAGTCGCTGAGGGATTCCGAGGTCTCCAACCCTGGAGCACCCCTACTGGCCACTCTGCCTTCCTCGCCCATGTCCGATGTGCTGGGGGTGCGACTGCCCCCAAATACTGGGCCTTGGGGTGTAGGGGGTGGGCAGCTGGGCTCCAGGCTCTGCTTCCGGTCCACAGGCAGGGCCTGGAAAGGAGTAACTGTTGGGAAGACACTCCTCCCACTTCACGGCCGAGGCTGAGGGTATCTCTGAGGTCCACAGAGGTGAGACCAATTTCAGAGGTGGGGTAGATGACATCCAGTACTACCAACAGGGCTAGGGGGTGACAGAAACCCTCTCCTCAGGAGGGGTGGGCAGGCTGCCCAGAAGGGACACCAGGGGTGGTCTCTCAACCCTCTTCCCAGCTAGGGCTGCACAGGATACAGGCTGTATTACATTTGAGGAACCCAAGACCATCCCTTCTACTCCCTGGTTCTTTTCTTTTTTTCTTTGTGCAAGTCTCACCATGGGGGTCCTGGGCAGCCCCTCCAGTTGTCGGGGTGGGCACAAGAAAGGGTCGGAGGAGCTGCTAGCTGCCCTGGTATTCGGGAATGTCCAGTTCTTGGCCAGCTGGACAGCAGGGGGAGGGCCTGGGTCTTCACAGGGATCTGTCCAGGAAAAAGGGTAGTGGATGGTGCTGTCTGACTCAGGATCCACCCCTGGGGATCCGTCCCCCCCACCCAAGTCAGGACTCACCATCAGGACAGGTCAGATGGCCCCGGTGGCTGGGAGGAGCGGTGAGCAGCGCGGGGAAGGCTGGCATGCTGGGGTGCCGCCCACTCACCAACAATTCCTCTAGGCCGGGCACCTCCCGCTCCAGGGTGTGGGCTCGACGGGGGACTTTGGTAAGGGCTGGGGGTCGGGCTGGGGGCACCCCCGGTGGGGGCTCTAGCCGTGGTGGCTTGGCCTTGGGAAGATTCTTGCTGGGAGTCCCACTGCTGCCATGGTCAGGCGGTGGGAAGGTCCCAATGCCACTGTCCAAAGTTCGCGTCAAAGAGCCACAGGCTGGGGAGAGGGCACGTGGAGGGTGTGAGGCAGAGGCACAGCCCAGTCTGGGCTCCTGCACCTCTAAGAGCTCCTCCTGGTTCAGCTATCTCAAGATGGGACCTGTGCCAGTGTCAGGACAAGGCAGGGGATGGGGGCAGTTCCCACCCCCAGGCTGACCCTGCAGACCTGTGAAGTGTGAGGTGGGCACCGGCTCTGCCAGGCTGTCCTCCGAGGGTATCTCTTCCTGCCTCCCTGGCTCGCTGCTCGGCTGTGTGGGCACAGAAGATCCAGTATCCATTTCCATCCCATCCCAAGCCCCTGTGCCGTGGGGAGTCAGAATGTGGGCATGGGGACATGAGAACAAAAGCACCATGCCCTGAGAGTACGTGTGACTGCCGGCCCTCAGGAAGACCTCTGGAGAACCAAGCCCCTCTACCGAGCTCCTGCCCCAAGAACGTACCTTTCCAGGAGGTTTTCCACAGCCCGGAGGTGGGCCCACCAGGCCATTCCGGGGCCCACAAGCTGACCAGGGGCTCTTCGGGTCAGAGGATGCTGGCTGGAAATCCCCATACTCAGGCTTAGTCTCCCGCCAACTCTTTGGTGGCAACTCCTTACCATCCACCCTAGGGACGGGACAGTGCACATGGAGGTGAGGGAGGCCAGTGTCCAGCAAATACGCAGGCTGCTAGCATTTGAGTGTCCCCCACAGCTTCTGGTGCTTTTTTTTTTTGTTGTTGTTGTTTTGGCAGAACCGGGGATTGAATTCAGGCCCTTGCAGCAAGTGCTTATTCTACTGAGCCATCTCCCTGGCCCCACCAGTAGTTTTCTTTTGCGGAACCGGGGATTAGAACTCAGGCCCTTGCGCTTGCCAGGGAAGAACTTATTCTACTGAGTCATCTCCCCAGCCCGTTTGTAGTTTTCTTTTTGAGATAGGGTTTTGTTATGTAGTTTAGGTTGGCCTTGAACTTGCTTAGTGGTATGGAGTTCAGGCTGGCTTTGAACTCACAGCAATCCTCCTTAGTTTCCCAAGTGCTGGGATCACAGGCATGCATCACCACAGTCAGCAAGGTGGTTAAATTTCATTCTCGTGAGGTACTAAGAGGTGCTTAGAATGGACCTGGGGGTGGAGGTCATGATCAGGATTCGATATGCTCACTAGGGTAAAGCCCCAAGGTTGAAGTTATTATCAAGAGGGAGGATTTTGACTTATTCCTTTATAAAGTAGCCTACTTTAGGTATTTTTTATTTTATTTTTATTTTTTGGCAGTACCAGGGATTGAACTCAGGACCTTGCATTTGTCAGGCAGGCACTTATGCCACTGAGCTATATCCCTGGCCCCTAGGTATTTAATTATAGTAATGAGAAACAGATGAATATACCAGCCTTGGACCTTCCAATGATGCCAGTGAGGCATTCCCTCCCATCTGCCTGGGAGACAGCACTGGCAGCTGTGCCCACCAACCCTCCCTGGCACTGGCCACAGGCAGGGGAGAAGGTAAGGGCCCTCTTCCAAAGGCACCAAGGATCAACATACCCTGGCACATTATCAGACCAAGTCACAAGCTTGTCCGCTCACAACACACCCTGCCCTCTCCCTCTGATCACACTTGGCATCCAAACCCAGTCCAATCTTTGAGCTTTCTGCCTCATGGAGCCAGAAAAAGTAACCCTAAGTGGGTTCCTCCTCTTAAACCACAGCTCCCCTTATAGTAGGTACTGAAGATGGGAAGAAACTCTTCCTGCCCCTTCTTAGAGAAGACTTTCAGCAGCCCATAGTTAAGATCTAGCATTCATGTAACTACCAACAATCCCGCAAAACAGGGACTACTACTATTAACTCTTCTCAGGGGAGAGGCGGCTTTGGCAAGGCAGCCAGGTCATTAACTGTAGATGCTCTGGATGCACCCTATCCCTTCTGACCTCTGCGACACCTAAGCTTCCAGCAAGGCAGTCCCAGTGCAGAAGCAGCTGTGTGCCCAGCCCACTGGGAACCTGCCAACTCACCTGTTGAGCAGCTGCTGCATAAAGGTGTCTGCACCATGGTACATGCCAGCCAGCTGGCCCTGCACCTGTCCCAGACCGGGCCCCGGTCCTGTGGCTGGGCCCCCAGGCCGCGGGCGGGTTCTGCTGCTCAGGTAGGCCTTCTCCTCCTCCAGCGCTCGGCGCAGGTCTTCCGCCTTAGCCATCAGCTTGGAGATATTGAGGCTCTCAGCCTCCAGCTTGCGGGCTTCCACCTTGACCTCCTTCCGGAGTGGGGAGCCCCCGCTGGCTCCTTCCTTGCTCTTGGTGGCCTCTGTGCGCCGGTTCAGTGCTGGTAGCTTGCTCTTCTTAAGGCCAAACCAGCTAGCAATGCTGCTGGTGCTGCGGTGCTTGGCCTCAGAGGCTGGTGCCCGTTCCTGGCCCTGGAGCCGCAGCACGTTCTCCTCGATGCCCTTCATCACCTTCTCCTCGATGGCAGAGTGTGGGGTTGAGCCCTCGGGCACCTGGCTCGAGTCGGGGGTGCCAGGTATCAGGGATGTGGGTTGCCCTGTGGTGCTGCTACAATCTGCCCAAGATGAGCCTTTTCCCTTGTCAGGCTTGGTGGGCTCCTTGTTGACTGGGGAGGGCCCGGACCGGGGCACCACCTTGGTGGGCGACTTGGAAGGTAGTTTTGTAGGGCTGCTGTGAGGGCTTTTGCTGGATTTGCCAAGGCTAGGGGCGGAGGGGGGCACTTTTGCAGGGGTGCGGGGCACCTGGGGGCACAGGGCCCCTGCCAGCCGACTCTTGGCCAGCTCCACTTTGGTGAGGCAGCTCCTTGGTGAGATAGGCTCTAGGTCCACACGGGCCCCCATGGAGTGGGAGGAGTAGACTCGGGCCCCGGGGTCCCCAAGTCCAGGGTCCTGTTGCTTTAGGCTGCTTGTGCCTAAGGCCCCTGCCCCACGCAGAGCTCCCTTAGCCTCTGGCTGCTCAAGGGGTCGAGTGGCAGGGGGAACCAGGTCTCCAGTATTCTCTCCTGACCTGCTGGGCCCCCGGGCCTTCTCAGTGCCTGGCCTGGCTGGCACTCCATTTTTCTCTAGACACAGGGGCCCCTCAGGGCCTGTCTTGAGCTTCCCCAGAGCTGCCAGTCTGTCCCGCAGAGGTGTGTAGCCAGGATCCCCAGCTCGCCGCCCTGACCCCTGGCCAGGCTTCTTGGATGAGCTGCCTGGGGTCCTGCGGCCAGGGTGGGGAGACTCCGAGCCTGCCTTGTCAGAACTCTTCTCCTGGGGGCTCCCAAAGGGGAAAGATTCTGAGAGGCAAGGGCTGGGGGAAACTCTAGGGCTTCTGAGGCCCTCTGGGGCCTGCGGTACCTCTAGAGCCAGCTGTGGGTAGGTGGGCACCTGCAGTGGGGAGGGAGGTGGCTCTGGGGAAGACCCTCTAAAGGTGCTCCGGGACAGGTCCAGGATGTTCTCATAGCAGGGAGATGCCACTGGCCCTGGGGACAGTGTGGTGGACAAGGCTGACTGGGGGGGTCTGAGCTGTGCAGAGTCTGGGGTTGTGGGGCAGGGTGAAGGGCTGGTGGCCAGGACCTGTGCCCCCTCTGGCGACAGCTCTCCACCCAGACCTCTGCGGGCCAGCAGTGGGGAGGGGCTGCCATCTGAGCCACTGTTGCGACAGGGGATTCTTGAGTTGCGGGGAAGCTGGGGACTGAGTTGGGGGCCACCTGGACTAGGGACTTTCTCTGAGGCTGGAGGCAGCTTGAGAAACTTGAGACTTCGGGCTGGAGAGGGAAGAAGGGGTCCCTGGGCTTCCCCAGGAGAAGGGGGCCCCATATGGAGCTTGCTTTTCACCTGAGATGAGTGGGCGTGGTCAGGCTGTGAGCCCGGTGGGGCATCCTCTGTCCCTACAAACACGCTGAGGAAGGGGAGGGGCCCCTGGCCCTCTGAGGTAGCACCAAAGCCCAGTCTGTGGGCCTCTGGGGCACCCCCACCCCAAGCTGACTTCAGGAGACCTTTAGACTTGGATAGCTGTGGGGGCCCCTGATCTGGGGAGGATGGCTGCCCGAGACCAGGGTGGTCCCCATTGAGTGGGCCTGCAGCTCCGGCCAGAAAGGCCTGTAGGTAAGTCTCTGTGTCCTCAAGGAGCTGGCCCAAGTTCAACTGCTTTCGAGCCAGAGCACCCAGCAGGGTGTCGGGGCTAGGGGCTTCATTAGGGTCACCTGCCTCATCAGAAGAGGAAGAGGAGCTGCTGCCTGGTGTGCAATGTGTGCCTTGGGCCTGTGGTGGGGCACTATTAGGGCCCCAAGGCCGCCTAGAACTCTCTTCCTCCCCTGGGCCTGCCAAGAGGCGATCCCAGTGCAGCAGGCCTCCCAAGCTACCAGGGCCAACTAGCAGGTAGGACCCCCAGGGCGAGGGTTCAGCCTGGGGGGGCCCACATAACTCGCCATTGATGGGTTCAGGGGAGCCAGGCCCATGGCCTGGAGGATGCCAGGGGGTGGCAGGTGAGCACAGGAGCAAGGGGTCAGTCTCTTCCAGGGCTCGAAGCACCTCCAGAATCTGGGCTTTCTTCCGAAGGAATGGTGAGAGGGCATCCAATGCTGGGGGTGGGGCAGCGGGGGGCCCTGGGCCTCCTGGTCGCAGCTGCTGTTCCCAACACACCTGGGGGGCAGAAGGAGATGTGAGGAGGGACTCATGTGTAGCTGGCATCCTATCCTGAGCACAGGTCCTGAGCTGGCTGCAACCGAGCATGCTAGGATCAGGGCAGACCTGGCTGCATGTGTCTGTGTCTTCAAAGAAACTGAGAGTTCTCAGGCGATGATGGCTCAGCTTCCTCAGGGGATGCTGAGCCCTAGGTACCCCAACTCTTATACCTGGCCCATTTGGGACAGGGTGGGCATCCCACATTCTCTTCTTGGCTATCTCCACTGCTGTTTGGGTTGGCATAGCTGACCAGCTACAACTCTGACCTCTGTGCTTATCCCAGTTCATTTTTCAGGCTCCAGAAAAAATAGAGTATCAAGAAGGCATGCAGGGGCCGGGGAGATGGCTCAGTAGAAAAAGCGCTTGATTGACAAAGGCAAGGATCTGAGTTCAATCCCTGGTTCCGCCAAAAAAAAAAAAAAAAAAAAAAAAAGAAGAAGGCATGTGATGTGGCCAGGGCCTAAGTGAGGCAGGGAAAACAGGGCCAGGCCTTCCCGCCAATCTGATCTCCATGAGTCAGGAGCAGGAGATGGCCCCGAGCAAGCCCTTCCCTGCGGCTGCTGCTCAGCCCCTTCTGGAGTCTGGGGCAGTATTTAACTGCACCCTCTCTGGGTCAGACTGTGTATGTTCAGGGCCAGTTCCACCCAGCTGTCTGACCTCTGCTAAGTTATCTGACCTCTAAGCGTCATGATGTCATCTGTAAAGTGAGATGGTAATTAAACTGAACCTCATAAAATAAGATAAAAGAGCCCCAGGGTGCCCTGCACAATGCTTGGCATGAAACAGAGGAGTTCGGCAAGTGTTAACTATGACTCTCACTGCATTACTAACCCATCTGCTCTGCAGGCCAGCAGCTGGGGGTGGGGATCTGTTTTTCCTGGTGTGAGGTGGACAGCTGAGGGCTCACATTTCCACATTTCCAGCCTGGACAGGAGTCTGTACAAGGGAAGCAGTCGTTCCCCTGAGGCTCATCAGGAGCCAGCACTGGGGCACCAGCTGACCACAGACCACACTGTGTCCCAGCATCATGACTGGGACAACTTTACCGCTTCCCTTGCCTCACACATCATAACTATAAACCTGTCTCCTACCTCTCTCTGCCCAGAACAATGTCCCAGAGGCAGCAAGGTGGCCGGTCCCTCGGCGGTACCCAGGGAGGGGGAGGCTGGTGGCTCTGAGGGTGGCTGGAGCGGAGTGAGTGAGATCTGCAGAGGAAAAGCACATTTAGCACGTTTGCTGTCTGGCCCCTCACGAAGCCAGGCATTTGGCCCAAGGTGCCCTCCAGGGACCTCTGCCGCACAGTCAGGCTCTTGTGACTACTCCCATGTGCTGTGAGAACAAAGAACTTTAGGAGATTATGTCACAAGTTCTTTTTTTTTTTTTTTCAGTACCAGGGATTCAACTCAGGACCTTGCACTTATTTCTACTGAGCCATCTCCCTAGCCCTGTGTACTTGGTTCTTACAAGGTCTCACTATGCAGCTTGGACTCATGGTAATCCTTCTGTTTTCAGCCTCCCCAGTGCTGGGATTACAAGTGTGTACCACTATGCCTGGACTCTGTGGCTGGCTTACCCCACCCTGGGGGTGGGGCCGGCGCAGCATGTAGTGCCAGGGATCAAACAGTGGTCCCTGCACTTGCCTAAGCAGGTGCTTTAGTCCACTGAGCTGTCTTGCCAGCCCCGTCACAAGTTCTTTTGAAGCTAGTGCAAGCCTAGGTGGTAGGCAGGAGGGTCCAGACAGGGCTCTGGAGAAAGAGTAGTACCCTGGAGCCAATGGGCAGTGCTGCTACAGCCTGGGGCCCACCTGGGCTCCAGCACCACTCTGCTTTTCTAGAGGGCTTCCTGCCCTACTACAAAAGGGGCCATCACAACAGTCCCTTTCAGTTCTCATCACCTGTGATCTGAGGAAACGGGAGATTATAGATGGTTGATGGCAAAGAGCAATCATTTCAGCCTCCCCAAGCCAATCTCATGTGAAACATCTACTCTGAGGACTGCCAAAATAGGCAATTTAATCATGGACCACTTCTGGTTCTTGAGAACATTGATTTCCTTCTCTCAGGCATCTTGACTGGGACAACTTTAGCCCTTCCCTTGCCCTTACTCATCATAAATGTAAACCTGTCTCTGCATCATCTCTCGGCCCCACCTCTGCAGCCAGCAGCTCCTGCTTGGCATTTCAGTCCCTCTCCTGGACTTGGTTTGGTGGCCTTTCCCCCTTGCATGCATAAGGCACCCTGAGGCATCTTTCTTGTTTTTCTTTCTGTGGTTCTGGAGATTGATCCCACAGCCTCATCCATGATGGGCAAGCACTCCACCATGGATTTACAGGCCCAGCCCCTGCCTTTGCGCCCAAAAGCCTCCAACCCAGCCACTGCCCATGGAAACAACTCTGAATTTCCTCCTGTTTCTGTCACCGACTGTCTTCTCACAGCTCTTTTGATCTAGGCAAGCCAAGTGCAACAGCGTGGTGCTCCCTAGCTTCCCTGCTCATGGAGCCTTGTGAATGCAGTTGCTTCCAAAGGGACTCTCTTCTCCCCGCCCCGCCCCCCCACCCCCCGTGACACCCTCTGCGACTCTCCCATCCATCCAAGCCCAGGTTCAATGTCATCTCCTTACAGGAACTGTCCCCAGTCCCTAAGGGCTTGTTCCCTAAGCCCCCGGCCAGACGCACTGTCTCACATGGCTGTGTGTAGACCTGTCTCTCAGCAGTCCCAGCCATTCAGCATTAAGTCACGCACCCAAGCCACAGCGCTGGGCGCTTTGCAATCAGTCCAACTCCACACGCGCTGGCAAAGGCACTGCTCACAAGAGAGCTTAATTAGCATTTGCTCAAAGGAGCTTTCGTCCTAGCAAAGCACAAATTGGGAATCATGTTAATAATGACAAATAGCTGCCATTTATTGCCTGGCTATGATGGGCTAAACCTATATATTATCTGATTTAATCCTTACAACAATCTGTGATATAGGGGGAAAAAACAAAACAACAACAATAACCCTATAGTTTGTAAAGTTAGGTAATTTGTCCAAGGTTGCACTTAGCTAAGAAGTGGCTAAGCCAGCACTCTAGCCCCAGTTTATCTGAGGCCAAGATTCTTGCTCTTCCCATTACGTCATGTTATTCCTGGGAACCGTAAATCTGTTGTTCCAAACACCAACGCACCCCAAAATCCATACAGGTAAAAAAAAAAAAATGACTTAAAGCTGCTTCCCCTCTATCACTATGGCTGGTGAGAAGTAGCAAGCTTCTTGGTGGACACAGTCCTCACGGGGTCCCAGGTAACCCTGAAGCACGAAGAGAGATGCATGCAGTGTCCACGGCTGGCTGGGGCCAGTTCTGCACTGCCTAGGTACTAGTGACTCCAGCAAGGCCACAGTGACAGGCGCTTCCTCTACAAGGGCAACACTTCCTGTGAGCAGAGGGATTCCCTGCTTGGAGCCTGTGGGCCAAGAGCTGCACGGATTGCATCCAAAAGACACAAATTCAGACAGACAGCCAAATCCCTCCACCCACAGAAAGCGCTTTTCTTCTTGTCAAAAGGGGAGGTGGGGCTAGCTGACCTCAACTTGCTGCTCCCTTTGGCCACCTGGAGCAGCTCTGGACCCTCCCACCCCAGTGCCTCAACCCATCTTTGGGGGTTCCTGACAGGCTCAGGACATGCTAACTCAGTCCCAGAAGCCTCCTCCTGCTGCTGGGGCAAGTAGGTGGCAGGGCTAGCAGCAGAGACAAGCGTCTGTGAGCATACATGTGCTCCACGGTGGGGATGTGCAGTGATCCGTGCCCACAGTCACGGGGGTGAAGCGCCTCTCCTGACCTTTCTGTGACACCAAGCCCTGGGCTGCTGTATGCAAGGCCCCACCCCTGGCCCCGGCCCTGAAGAGGTCGTGTCACTGGCCCAAGGGGCCTCTTGGGAACTTGAAATAATTGTGTTTTCATCCTCCGCCCATCTCCCCACATAGAGCAGACACATTCTCGAACCTTCTTTCTCAACAAGGGAGGCTATCCAGCTGGGCAGCCACCTGGGAGGCGGGGACACAGCCACACTTGTGAGGACTTGGGTCTTTTTCACTCCATGTGAGATACAAATCTATGAGGCCGGGCAGGCCTTCCCTGGATGGCCACAGCCCCAGCTGCAGGGGTGTGCAGATGGCGTCCTCTTGCACGTGAGGCCAGTGCTGCGCCTTGGGGGAGGTAGCAGAGCCAGTGAGGGAAGGAAGAAGTGCGTGGTGCTGCGCACCCACCTGGGGGAGGGAGCCTGTTGTGAACTGGAGTTTCTGTTGAAAAAGGGCGCTCAGCATCTGGTTCTGTCGTTCCAGGTCAAACACTCTCTTTTTCAGCTTGATGCACTCTTCCCGAAGGTCCTGGACCAGGAAATGGAGGATGGCAGGGAGAGGGAGAGGGAGAAGGATGTGAGCAAAGGGCTGGCAAGCTTTTGAAGTTTATCACACTAATGTTTACCTCCCTGCTGGGTCCTCGGGAAGGGCCTCCCAGACTGTTCCCAGGGCCTGTCCACAGGGCAGGGTTAAGGGTGACCACGTCTCCTGGGGCCACTTACCTTCTGGTTCAGCAGTGCCTGCACCACGTGGTTGGCAACCTGAGGACAGAAAGCCCGAGGCTAAGCTGACCGGCGTCTCCCTCCCCTTCCCTCCCCAGTGCACCACTGCTGAGCCCACAGACCTCATCCAGACAGCGCTCGTAAGTCTCCCGCTGGTTCTCGTTGGCCTGGGCAAGTGCAGAGTTTTCTGCCTGCAGGAGTGGAGGAGGATGAGAATAAGAAGAGGAGGGCTTTGGGACCAGTCCTCCTCCAGGGCAAATTCCTTTTGGGCAAGAGGCAGGAAGGAGTCTACTAGCTATAGCCCTGTTTGAGGCCAAAAACCTGCAGAGACCAAGGGCAGCCAGAGCGCAGAGCTGAGATGGGTGGGTTTTCTATGAACCCCAACCTTCTTCAGTGAGGCTGGAGGGCTGGAAATACAGTGACTAGGAAGACACAAATGGGAGGCGCCAGGTACAGGTGACTGGAGAGGAGGTCACGGTCTTCTTTTTTTTTTTTTAGTTTTTTGAGGTAGGGTCTTACTTAGGTAGCCCAGGCTGGCCTTGAACTGTTGTGTGCCACTACACCCAGCTGAAGACAGTCTTAAAAATGCGGCAAAGTGCTGTTTGGGGAACCCTGCCTTCTTTACCTCCTGTGCCCCTTGTCATTTAACCCCTGCCTCCTGTAGCCTCTGTCATTGTCCCTTTCCCTTGAGTCAGTAGAAGCACGAAAGGGAGAAGTGATATTTGAGGTTAGGACAATATACTCATGCATTTTGTCCTCAGGCTAGAGAGCTAAGAGCAAGGAAAGAGTTTATTGGAGGAGTGCTTTTTAAAAGAAACGTTCAGTCTCTCAGGCCTGGCCAAAGGGTTGGAGGAAGGCCCACCCCGAGCTCAGAAAGGCAGCACTTCCGCCCCACCCTGCTCCCTGCCACACACCTCGAGCTCTCGCAGTCGGTGCAGAAGCTCCTGGCAGCTGCTGGGCTCCATGCTGCCATCAGCACCTTCTCCTGGCGCTGGGTATCCAGGTCCCCCGGCTGTCTGGTCCATGGCCTCGGACATCAGGTCCTGGGAACCACAGCAAGAAGAAACCTCAGCAGGTTACTCCAGGGCACGAGGAGGAATGAGCACTGAGACAAGGCTCCTCAGTGTTCTCAGCATTTAGGCTGGTGTCATCTATGCGCCGTAGACACACACTATAACCATTCAGCATTGGGCTCGGTCTCCTGCTCGTTCTGCCCATCTTAGGAACAGGGACCTCTAGTTTATAGATTCCCACACTTGCACATGGCCTGTCACAGGTCAGACAGACCCTAACCTTTCTGCTGGGATCAGCCTCAAAATGGCCAGTGAATCAGCCTCTCTATGCTGCAGTGACCCCATTTACAAAATAACATCAATATCACCTTGTCTCGCTCAATGTTAGCAAACAAAAAATAGGCCTGTAAGAATGATTCGGAAGCAAAAACAACATCTAAAAACACACACATATTCCTTGTAGTCCCAGCACCCTGAGAGGCTGGGGAAAGAAGACGTGCTTGGGCAATCTGCTAACCTAAAGAGACTGTGACAAACAAAAAGGTCTAGAGATACACTCAGCACAAAGGCCCTGGGTTAGTCCCAGCACTACAAAAAACCAAAACAATGAACCCTATTCAAAACACATGGGGCTGGTGAGATGGCTCAGTGGTCTAAAGCACCTACTTAGAACAAGCTTAGCAAAGCACAGGGACCGCGGTTCAATCCCCCAGCACCACATGCCAGCCAGCCTTGCCCCCTGGTGGGCCGAGCTGGCCACACACACATAAATAAAATTAAAAAACAAACAAACAAACAAAAAAGAAACACATGGCCAAGATTTCTCCTTTTTTTTTTTTTTTTGTATCAGGAACTGAACCCCAGCCCTGTGATTCCTCACACTAGTAATATTCAGGTTACAAGACAAATAGGATTTTGTCCTCAGGTTCAGCGAGCCTTGCCTCGGGCAGGGACCGATCCTAGCCTCACTGCCACAAGGCTCTCACTGGCTCTGCGGTATGAGCTGAGCAAACACATGAAAGCTTTCTTAGCTTGTTCACTTCACTGATTCTCTGCATCCTGGTTCTGAAAATGGGCAAAGGGTTCTTCTTGACATGGTCACTGTGAAGGTCACATGTGAACACCTGTAGGTGGCAACCTGAGAAGCAGGCTGCAGTGGCACTGTGATGCGGGGCCCCGTGCCTCACCCCAGTCTAGGGCTCATTTCACCTGCCCCTTCCTGGCCCTCATCTTCTCCTGGACACACTGGACAGGGGCCATGTACTACGTGCCTGACACTCCCGCTTCTTGCTTCAGCTGTCCTAGACACCAGAAAGGAGGGTGGGGGAGCCACCTCTGAGGTCCCCAAGTGCCAGCCTTCTTGAGTACACTGGCCTTTCTGCTGGGGCTGCTGGACACTGCCCTCCCTTTCTTCCTGTTCATGCCTCAGGGCCCACATTCCCTGAGGTTCTGTAACAGTCTCCTCCACCAGGCTGTCCATTCCTGAGCACAGAGACATTGCACTGGCCTCTCTGTACAAACCTGCACTTGTAGTGTGCACCTGGCATGTAGGAGACGGACCACTGACAAAGCAAGTAGCCTGTCACTGACCACAGACACACATCCTGCTACCCCACCAGGTGCTTGCCTGCCTTACTTTCTGCAAGGGGTGAGTCTTTATCTTCTATATGAGTTCCCACTTCTCTGCTGGAGCAAAGTGCTCACTTCCTTGTTCTTCGTAAGTACTGTGCAGTTGAGAAATCCTTACTGTAAAAGGCTGACAACTCACCCACCCTGACTACTCCACTACCTTTTCCTCCCGCCCTCAGCCCTGACAAGAATGCCTTAGAGCTTTTGGACACAGAGGAGGGAGCCCTCGGCAGCTCATCACGGCACCTGAACCTTGGTCCTGTCCTCTCCAGTGGGGCACAGGGATGCCTCTCCCACCCACCCCTCAGCATTACCAGCAGGCACCAGCACTAAAGGCCCTCACCTGTCTCTGTCCCCTACCCAGGCTGGGACATTCAGCTTACTCTAGCAGCCAGTACGGTCACCTTGCCTGTAGAGAAACAGAGGGAGATGTCAGTCACATACAACCACAAGCATTTATGGGGCTTCTGCTGGGTACCAAGTGCCAGGACACAGGAAGAAGGAGTCTGAAAGCCTCCCTTTATGAAGCTGCCACTTTTCTGGGGGAGGCAGATAATAAACAACACTGGGCATGACAAGGTGCAGAGAGATGGCAATCAGGAAGAGCGTAAAGTGAAGTCCAGATGAGATCCTGGGTGGGAAAATCACTGAAGGCAGAGATAGAGCCAATGCACAGGTGAGACACGGGGCGCTTTATGCTCCTCCAACATACATGGCCTCCTCTAACTCTCCTGACCACAGATGGGAGGAAATGCTATAATCAAGTCCCAAGCAATAGGAAATTGTGCTAACACGCACTGAGCGCATCCTGTGTGCTGTGCAGAGCTGGACCTTTCTCTGCACCACTGGATCTGATTCTCCTAACGACCTTGGAAGGGGGCACTGGTTTGGAAAGGAAGCAGGGGGGTCTAGAGGCAAAGGCTGTTGCGCAAATCATACAGCTGGGGCACTCTGTACACTGGACAGACATCCTAGCTGTGCTGGGGTGTATAGCTCAGTGGCAGAATGCTTGTCTAGCACGTGCAAAGCTCTGGGTTTGATCTCCAGCGCTGCAACAAAACAACATGCAGCCAAACAATAAGTAAAATAACAAAAAGAGAAAAAAAAAATTCCCCCAAACAATCAAGTTGCACTGTCAGCCTCATAGAGCAACTAACATGTAAGCCATACAGTTCTAGGGCCCTCTGTAGGCACAGCCTGGAGTACAGATTTCTAGTTTTGCAGCTGACAAATTTGACTTAAAGTCCTGACTCTAAGAATCTCTTTGTTTTGCTTGTAAAATAGGAGTAAGAATACTCAATCCAAAGGGCTGGTGGAGGACAAAATGAGAGTAGATGCAGTGTCCGTCCCGAACTCCGTAACCGGATGCTTTGCCCATCACCATGGGCTGATACAGGCAGCTTGTCCCTGTCTGCTCAGCCTGGGGGCTCAGGTGCCACCTGCCCATCTTGCTCCCAGAGGCCTCCTCCCTGCACCTCCCCCAGTGCAGGCACTGTCTCTACCCTAGAAAGGAAACGGCTGGAGGCTTTGAGGTCAGGGGCACACAGACAAAGGGGAGAAAATGATTTCTTCTCAGTGTATGTGAACCACAGTGGGACCGACAGGGAGTTCTGAAAACTGAAAAGGAAAAACTGTGTAATATGTATTTTTAATACCCCACAACAACCTAAAAGCAGGCTGGCTGGCTGGCTGGCTGGCTGGCTGTCTCTCTCTCTCTCTCTCTCTCTCTCTCTCTCTCTCTCTCTCTCTCTCTCTCTTTCTCTCTTTCTCTCTTTCTCTCTCTGTAGGAAAATTTACTGGGGAAAAGGAATAGTGAGGAATAGGAATAGATCCTGAGATACAGGAGGGGTCCTGAATGGGCTGCTTTATTTTTTTTCTTTTCTTTTTGGAGATAGGTCTTGCTATATAACTCAAGCTGGCCTTGAATCAAATGCATAGCCCAGGTTGGCTTCAAACTACTGGCAATCTTCCTGCCTCAGCCAGAGTGCTAGGATTACAGGCACGTGCCACCACGCCTGGCTGGCCTTTGTTATTTTCATAGGATTAAGAATGTAGTGAGTAGAACTTTATGTGCTTGTGCTACTACCATGTTTGATATATTCAGAGATGGATAGGCCTGGAATAAAAGAAGTAATTCAGGAAATATTCTTTCCAGACAGAAAGAGGGATTACATCCAAAAAAGGCCTCAGGTGAGCACCTCTACCATCTGACTAGCTTCACCCCAACGCCTCAACTCTGGTCCCTCAACTCCTGCCTTCACTGTCCTAGAAGAGCCTGGCCCCAGAGGTCACGGCTTTTCCAGCCCTTGACCTTGTGCTTCTCCAGGGCTGGCACGTGCACGTACGTCTGTGTGCATGCATGACTGGGAGGTAGAGAAGGCTGGAAGGGGAAGGAAGGGAGCAGGACAAGTAGGGTAGCATCAGGGTCCAGAGAATAAAGCCAAACTGGGGTTTTATGTTCTTCATACAAAGAAAAAGTAAAGAAAGGATGAAGATGGTTTAGTGGATAGAGTATCTTCTCTAAAACAATAAAACAGGGGCCGGGGAGATGGCTCAGTGGAATAAGCGCTTCCCTGGCAGGCGCAAGGGCCTGAGTTCAATCCCTGGTTCCACCAAAAAAATAAAAATAAAAAAAATAAAACAGGCCCAGGGAGATGGCTCAGTAGAAACAGCACTTCCCTGGCAAGCACAAGGGCCTGAGTTCAATCCCCGGTTCTGAAAAAAAAAAAAAAAAAAACCAACCCAAAAAACAATAAAACAGATAAGCACTTAATACCGGAGTCTTTATTGTGAGGACTGGCTGTGGACTTCACCTGTATGCATGTTGTGTTTTGTGTACTAAGGAGGTCACAGATGCAATGCTCTCCACAAGCCAATCACTGCCACCCTCCAGCTCTAAGGCCCTATAAACCCCCAGAGCTGGAGGCCAAGTCCTACTGTGACCTGTGGGAGACCCTCTTGAGGTGCCAGTAATCTCTGTAAGTGGAGCTGGAGCCTGGGCAGAAGCTCTGGAAATGCTGGATGAAGGAAGGCTATGAGTCAGCCTCCTGTGGGAGAACCCTTTGTGCCTCTGCACCACAGTCTGGGCCAACTCAGGACGAGGACCTTCTTCAGTCTGTGGGAGGGCAGGAGCCCACTGCAGCCTAGACCTGTGAGGAGTCAGCGCGAGAGACTCAAACTTAAACGTGGTGGCAGAAGGAGTGCATATCTAGGAGTGGGACCCAGAGTCTGAGCTTCAGATTTCTAATAAAAGTGGGGCACAGTGGCATAAACCTGTAATCCCAGCTAAGTGAGAGGCTGAGGCAGGAGGACGGTGAGTTTGTGGCCAGCCAGGCCACTTAGAGACCCGAAGGAACAGAGATAAAAGAGAAAAGAGAGGAAGAAGGAAATGAAAGAAGAGAGAGAGGGAGAAGGGAGAGAGGGAGGGGGCAAGGAGGGAGAGAAAGAGAGAGAATTTCTCAAAGAAACTTCTGGGGTCTTTTGCAGGGAGACACCACAATCTCTAGCTACAAAACAGACTAACCTTAAACTTAGTTTTTTCAAATCTGAGGGGTTTTTTTTTTTTTTTTTTTGCCTACATCTTGGGGGAAAGGGCCAGCTTAAGTCAATTTCCCTGTGGCTACCTAGTCAGTGGGGTAGTCAGTGTCCTCTCCAGGGACAAATAATGCCCTCTCCCCACAGGATCCATAACTCAGTACTCAAGAGCACAGTGCTCAGCCCCACCTGGAGTCTGGGAAGACCCAGGCCAGGGTCTCTCAGGCGGTGCCTGGTTTTGAACTTTCCTCTGAGGGGTCCCACAATGCACCCAGGATGTTGGGTCTGGAACACCCAATGAGGTCCAGGCTGCAGGGATTGAGAAATCCAGCTTGAACTGAGAGCTCTTCCACAGTAGAACTGCCAGGGGGAGGCCCCTCCCTACACAAAGGCCTGATTCAGAGGGCGATGACTTCAGTGCTGAGGGCAGAAAGGGAAGAGGAGGGAGGAGAGAGTGCTCCCTGTAGAGGGACTAGAGGCAATCTGGGGGCAGTTAGGGAGAGGGAAAGGCAAACTGCTGTTTAGTAATCTCCAGGGATGTTGCCAAGTGCATCCGGGTGACTGTCATTTCTGGCTTAGTCCTGCCAGGCCCTGGTTCATTCCTTTCCTTCTTTTTTCAGAGTATTAGGTATTTGTCACTGAGCTACACCCCCAGCACCAAATCTCCCTTTAAAGCTAGGAAGGGACAGGGACTTTAAGGGCTGCAGAAAAGATCTGTCCATTCTGCCCCTTAAAAAAGGACAATATCTGCAGTTGCCAGGGCACAGGTAAAGCCCTCCCTGAACTCAGAGTCCAGCCTACGAGCAGCGGTCAAAGAGATGGCAATAGGCCCGAGTTCTAGCCTGGTGCCTTAGACCTCAGCCAAGGCCTTCTGGTCTGACAGCCCCTCACTCCCCAGCTGTCCCCTCCAGAGTCTTCCAGGGAGAGAAGTGGGGGCTAGAGGGAGGGCTGGGCAGCTGCAAAAGGCAGGGATGGGAAAGCTCACTTGAGTAACAGTCACCCAACTGGTCCCCTCCTCTCTCCTCCCAGCTGTTTTCTGGAATCCCTTTCATCAGTCTTACCAGCCTAGCACACCCAAGAGTCCACTTGTAAACAGCAAGCTCTCACCCTTTCCAGCCAAGATAGCTCAGAGGGCATCTTGGGAGGCTGTAAGGAGGGAGGCCTGGAGGCCAGGTTAATTTTTTTTGCAGAACCGGGGATTGAACTCAGACCCTTCTAATTCCACTGAGCCATCTCGAGCCCAGGTCAGTCAATCCCTAGGGCAAAGCATCTTTTAGCTCTAGAAATTCCAACTGGTCTCCTCCCTACATAGGCAAAGGGGGTACACAAGAATTTCCTTCCCTCCTTCTGACAAATGGTAACCAAGAGGAACAGTCATCCTGAGGCCTCTGTCCTTGGAGAAAAAGCCAGAGTCCCCTCCAACAACCTCTTCACAGGTATTCCCAGAACCTCAGTGTGACAAGGGGCAAACTGCAGCAGAAACAGGCCCTGCCCTTCCAGACAGAGCAGGAAGAAGGGCCATGATGCCATCAGCCCAAAGGCTTCCAGGGAACAGACATTCCTCACTCTGCTCCCTCCAGGCCTCCTCTTCCCAGTCTACCGCACAACCAACAACAAAAATAGCAGCTGCTGGGGAGGGGAAGGGTGAGGGCTCGACTCAGTGGGTTTATTTATAGGACCACACACCAGGGGCTCTGTGGCCAGGCGGCCTAGGTCCTGCTCCCAAAAGGCCAGCCCACCCTTGCCCAGCCAAGGGAATGGGAAGAGCCTTGAACCAGAAGGAATGGTCCCAGAGTGTGGCCTAATGCTGTGGTGTGTTTAGTTGCTGTGTGTGACTTCAGGCAAATCACAATCTCTCTGGGACAAGTGCTTTGC